TTGAAATCAAGAGGAAAAGCTAAAGAATCAATTATTGAAGGAATGATTAGCTTCAAAGAATATTTAAAAGACCACTGAAAGAATGATGTGAAAAAGTAGTATTATGGAAAACTGAAAACAATATTACAAAAAAAGGGAGAAAATCTTTTTAAAAGCAGGAGGAAAATGAAAGAATGAAGTGATAAGAACATTAATAGCAGTTCAGCATCAGTAGAATCTATTGAGGGGAAATATAATAAAATTGAACTAATAGAAAAAAGTACAATACATAAATTTAGAATGTGGATAAACTTAGGGTGCAAATAAGATATTAATTATAATAATAGATATAATCATTATATCTAATGAGATTTTGACCATCAGTTTCTGAGATTATACTTAGGCAATGATAAGTCAGACTGTAAAATTTTATTTTTGGTCAGTTTCAATAAATGTAAAATATATTATCTGTATCTTTAAAATTTACACTTAATCTATTAATAAAGTTTATTAGAGCAAGACTCTGTTGGATATATATAAAAAAAAAATTTACCAGAGACTTTTTAAATTACCCTTGCTTAATCAATATTGAAATAAAAATTTAAAATTTTCCATCTATTATATTTCAAAACAGATGTCATTAAAGCATTTTGAGCAAATAAAAAGGTATTTATATATCTCTTCTCCTACAGTTGTGATTAACAATTATTTTGAAAAACTGAAACCATGACTTTCAAGAATTTGCAATGTGTCGAAACAGCTTTATACACCAAGTTCAAATGTCTTAGTGGATGAAATAATGATGCATTTTTTTGGATGAAGCTTTAATACTATTTGAATAAAGAACAAACCAATCCTAGAGGGCTTTAAAATTTTATCTTTTTGTGAATCTGGATATACATATACTTTCTTGCCTACATCACATGTCTCGTCAAGTGATGTAATAAGAGTGAATGGCCTTAATCAAACTGGATGTCTGGTTCACTATCTTGTTATACAACTCCCTTATCAGCAATATTCTTTTAACCTCTATATGGACAATTACTTTACTGTTACTCATTTCCAGTATTTTTAGCAAATTGACATTGATGCTTGTAGAACTGTCCAAAAAACTGCTTCCAGATTTTTAAAAGAATTAAAGGTAAATAAAAATGTCAAGCTTAACTGGAATGTCCATTCTGGTGTCATAACAAATGGTGTATTGATAATGTATATGATTACTAGATAATTATTTTATTTAATGTATTTACTTTATAATTATTTTTATTTGATGTATGTAATTACTTTATTTTATAATTATTTTTTATTTAATGCATATGTAATATTTATTTATAATTATTTATTTAATTGTCCAGTATTAAACAAATTATATTAACTTTTTTAAAGAATGAAGGTGTAGATGTATTATTCTAAGTTCTGGTGGAATTTACTGGCAGAAGAGTTACATAAAAATTGTAAAATCAAGAATAATTTTAATAATTTATATTATCATATGTTTCATTTTAATATATTTTTCATCAATTTAAAGTTTCAGAATTTTTTTATTTGATGAGCAGTTAATTTATGAAATAAATTAATAAAAGTTAAAGGAACAGATTAATTCTTAGAAGATACAATCCATTAGTTTGGAATGCCAATTCTGGATTGGTTAGGATGGGTGGGAAAAAAACTGATGATAGCTTTATTTTCTTATTTAGTGGTCAAGTAAATTTCAGTTTTTATTTTGGGAATGATTCTAATTTTACTTTAGATCATCAGCTGTATTTGCAATAATACTCATGAAAAATGTATAACAACAGATGATGATGAATCAAAATTACACTTTAGCAACAAAGGTTATATGACTTTTATATTTTTCCACTAGTAAACAAATTCATCAATTATTTATTCCATGCATGCGCTCATTAAATTGTATATTTATCAACTGTAATACAATTTCATGATTATTATTAATTCGATTAGTTTTACATCATATTCTTCCATTATTAAAAGATCTAGATTTTTCTAATCCCTTTAACCATAGATGTTGTGTTGGTATCAATAATTATTAACATTTTAACTAAAATATTATTTTAATTACCTATTTTTAAAGTTAAATTAGTTTTAATTTTAACAATAAAAATCAATATTTCAATAACTTTAAAACTTTAATAACTCAATATACAGATGTTACATTAAATAAATAAATAAAATATTATTTGGAATATTATTCTTCTATATCAAATTGAACTCAAAAACTTTAATACATATGTTCTTCACTTAATGTAAATAGTCACGCTTGTTCTGCACATTTTACAATAATCTTTTTTTCCCCTCCTTTACGATGTCATCCTTAAAAAAATTTTCTTAAACTATCAGCACTGAATATCTATGAATTTTTATAAACCATTCTAATTTTAATAGTTTCAAGTGATTTTAGTATATTCTCAGCCATTTGACATAATAATTCATTAGCATCAAATCCTTTTCCACCCACAATCAAATGAAAATTTCTTTAATTCATTAAAAATTATCATCCTTAAACATTGCTATTGCTTGTTCAGGACTTAAATTATGTAAAGTTAATTTCGTAATCTTCGAACAATAATTTAAAATTGCTGTAAATATATTAATTGTAATTTTAGAATAAAATTCTGAACAAATATTTATTAAATTTGTATTGGCCGTTTCAAGAATTTTATAATAATTCTTGAAGATGCCTACCTAAATGAAATTAATGAAAACTACTTAATTGAGTAAATGATGAAGCCAAGAACAAAATGACTAATGGTAGGCTATGATAGTAAATTATAATAGATAACTAGCATCAATTGATAGATTTTCTAAATGTTTTTTGGAAACAAATTTTGCTAAAAATGACATTAGATAATATGGAATTAAATTAAATTTCAAATCCATATTTAAAAATATTATCATTAATGATTCATATAATGGTCTATTCGGTTCGTGATTTCCTAAAGTAAAACTTTATAATTTCTTAAATACTTTTGGGGCACTATATAAATCGAGAATTGAAAGAATTGAACCAATTAAACAGTACCATAACGTGAACTCCTAATTTAAAATAATCCAAAAAATGTGCAACGATTTATTATTAATTTAAGTATCTCACAAAATAATATTCTCGATTTGATAATGGAGAAAATCATCATATTCAAAATCATCATAATCATCATAGTCGTCGTCGTCGTCATTATCATGATCATCATCATCATCATCACCATCATCCTAGTCATCATCGTCATCGTCACCATAATAATTTTATATTCTTAATAATGATCTAGACCACTAATTTGTTGTAAATATATGGAAAGTAAAGTTCTAACTTGATTATCCATACATAATATATAAGTTCGAATACATAATATTTTCCTTTCAAATTCTTCTTATCACCCATACAACATTCTTCACTAAAAGTTAATTCCCAAAGTATATGTAAGTATCTTCAAAAGTAAAAAAAAATTTGTTCATTGGATATACTGGCAAGAAATCCAGCTATTGACGGAAATGAATGAATTGATAAATAATATAAATAATATTAAAAAATTAAATTAAATTAAATGAAGTGAATAATAAATTAAATAATATTAATTAATAAAAATAAAATAAAAAATGAATAAATAAAAATAATAATAAATGGTACAAATAGTATTAAATTAAACAAACATTTAAAATATATAAATAATTTACTTACTCTATGTGTCAAATCAATTCCATAAGATTGCTAAATAAATAAATAAAATAAATAAACAAATAAAATAAATAAAATAAATAAATAAATAAAATAAATAAAATAAAATAAAATAAATCAAATAAATAAATCAAATAAATAAATCAAATAAATAAATCAAATAAATAAAAAAAAATAATAAATAAAATAAATAAAATAAAAATAAATAAATTGATAAAATTGATAAATCAAACAAATAAATAAAATAAATAAATAAAATAAAATAAATAAAATGAATAAATAAAACAAATATTAAAACAAATATTTAATAATATTTTAAACATACCTTGAGAACACTATTGTCGCCGTTTATCTTTGGATGCTATAATTAAAGATTATAATGTAATATAAAAATTATTAAATTCAGTTATTACTAATTTATTTATCATTAAAAAAAAAAAAATAAATAAATTACCATCAATAGCGTGTTCGATCCTTGATTATTTTCCGATCTCTTCAATCTCTTCAAAGGTAGATACTATTAACCTCTTCGTTCATGATATTCTTTATTTGCTTCACCTTTCCCAGTGATTATCAAATATTTCAAACTAGAATAAAATGATGCAGTTAAAAGTATTTTTGGTAAAGCTTCTCCAGCCTCAATGCATCCTCGAATTTTATCAAATTGGATTTGATTTAATAACGCACTAAGAAATAGTAGAATGCGAGGTGTGGCTACTATCACTAAACTATAATAACTTAGAGAAATATTTTTTGATGGACGATAAATAATTATTGTTAGATGAATATTTTAAAAATCATAAAATTAAAATTCGAAAAAATTCATCTAAATCTGCAATTACCCATTAATAAAAAAAGAAAAAGAACTAATTGAAATGATTTAATAAATAATAATGATAATATATAATATTAAATTTATTAATAATTAATAAATAATTAAATTTCTCACTTAAAGAAGAATATATTATTAAACATTTACTCAAACATATTTTTCTTCACTTTGTTCATTTCCCAAACATTTTCTTACTCCTTCATTTCTCCTTATAATCCACTATTGAAATAAGTCTTTTATAGTTTTTATATCATTTTCAGGTTTACTTAATAACTGTAGAAATCCGTAAAGGGTATATTAACGTTTCTATAAATAGCCGACTCGCCAGAATATCGAACGTTTGGTTGCATCAGATTGTGAAGAAAGTAATAATGGATTAACATCGAGATTGGGAGAAATAAGCAAGTAAAGAATATTATTAATATTAAAAGAATAACGGAAAGTGATCGAGTTCCATTTTGCAAGAGATAAAGAATTGAGTTAAAAATTATTATTTTATTGTCTAATTATATAGAAAAAGGTAAACGTGATCCGGCAAGCCAGATTTGAACTAGCGACCTAGAGATTACAGTACCACTACAGTCTCCCGCTCTACCAACTGAGCTATTGCCGGTGGATGTAGTAATCGGACAAAATAAAATTTTAAATAATATTACTTTACTGTACTTTTGACATTCATTTGCCGAGTTGCAGATGTTTGATCAAAAAATGATCTAAAGTTAGATAATATTTTTTTATTAAGGAGACGACATGTCGATATGTAGTAAAGTCCAAAATATCAACAAAATTAATATTATTAATAAAACTAATATCATTAATAAAATAAATAACATTAATAGCATTACACATTATCATTCCACTACCCAACTATTTTTCGCTGTCAAACCACAAAAAGAAAAACCAAGTAATGCTAAAGCAGCAGCAGCAGGAGTTAAAGGAAAAGAGGGAGGAAAAGAGGGAGGAAAAGAGGAAGGAAAAGAGGGAAAAGATAAAAAACCCAAAGTTTGGAGACACATAAAAGGTTTCTTGTTTAAACAGTTTTTGGCTAACGAAGGAAAACTTTATGAACACCCAAAACTTAATGGACCTAATTATATGGGATCTGCTTTTTGCGTGAGTTTTTTTTTTTTTTTTTAATTCTATATTAGTGTTGTCTTCGTCTCTAATTTTCTCTAATGCTTTGCATATGTACGTTATAAATCATATTTACCTATTATGTTTATCTATTATATTAATCTAATTGTTAAACATATTTAGATAGCCCTTTCCAATGAATCCATATTTCAAAGTACAACCTCCATTAACAGATCGTACAAGAGAACAAATTTGGAATGAGTATACGGAACAAGGAAAAACCGTGAGAGAAATTGGTACCATGTTTGCAATCTCACTTAAAAGAGCAGAAGCCGTTTTGAAATTAAAGAAATTGGAAAAGGATGTGATTTCTCAAGTAATAAAATGATAATAATATTAATATTATTATTAGAGGTTTTTTATTTTTAATTTTTAATTTTAATTTAATTTATAAATTTAAAATTTAATTTTTTTTTTTTTAAATAAAAAAAAAATGGAATTAAATAAATAATAATATAGGGAGGAAAAATTCAAAAAGATTTTGCTTTGAATATGGAAAAAATGTTAGGAGCAAAAACAATTTTATCAGAAAATTTAACTGAAACTTTACCTCAAGTGGGAAAACCGAAGTTTCATTTAGTTGATGAAGGAAAAGATTTTGTTTCTGATGTAAATTATCAAAATTTCCTTATAAGCGTCGATCTATCTATTTTACACATATCATTATATAAAAATTTACCCAACGATTTTCTATTTTTATAAAAAATATAAATAGGACGCAGCCAAAATTTTAAACCGTCCAACGATCAAAGAAGAAACATCAAGAGAAGAATTACTTCGTCAACAATTTACCACCTCACTAGGAGGAAAAAGTAAAAATCAACATTTACGTAACGTGATAGAAATCGGAAGTGATAAAGAAATTACTAATAGGCGATGGGCTTTTCGATTTAAAAATGTTGGAGAGGTAATATTATATTTGATGGTGTATACAATATATTGTGAATTATGTGTGTGTATATATATATAGGATAATGTACATTACGTATAGATATAATATTTTATTTTTTATTTTTCTTGCCAACAAATTTTACTTTCTTAATAGAATCCATGCATCATTATTCGAGAGCGAGATGGAAAATTATTAAAAGCGGATTTACCGGAACGTTCACCATTATCATCATGACCTTCATATATGTGTGTGTGTTTTTTTATTATTAATTAGATGATAATAATTAATTAGACAATTATTAGATCATTATTAAGTTAATGATTAGGTTAATAAATGATTAGATTAATGATTGATTATATGTAATTAAGATTTAATTATTTAGGTTGATATTTTTCTATTTTATATAGAAATACGTAACATCATGTAATAATTTAATAAGTTTTTTTTAATTCAATTTAATTTATTTTTTTTTCTTTATTTTATATTTATTTATATTTTTTTTTTTATTGAGGAGTAATGCATATAATGTATTTGATGCATTTGATGCATTTGATTTATGCATGTTTTTAATATAATTGATTCAAAGAATGTACAATTCTATTGTCCCAAAAATGAATTGGAATCAAGACACGAGTCACGATTTATCATATGATAAGCAAATCGGTCACCTTATTATTAGTACGACATTCGTTCTTTATAAATGAATTGTGTAATAATTATTCCGAAAAATGTCTTTACCACAAAGTAAAAAAAGATTCGTTCGAAAAAGCCTTAAATGATAAAAAAATTGAAATTTTTGATTATAACACATTTAAAGATATTAAAACGAATCGTAAGTGGGGGATTTGTTACAGTTCATTGTGCTAATTCAAAAAATTTGCGAATTATTTTATGAAAAATTTATGAAAGAGGTAAAAACAAAAATTTTGTTTTCATTAATTAATATAAAATTTTTAATATATGTATTTTCGAGATGAAATTAAATTTAAATACAATTTTTTTGAACAGTTAAGAAATGTCATGGCTGTAAATAAAGATGAAAATGTTATCAAATTTTATGGAATCAGTTTAGGTTAAATAGATTATTTTTTATTTATATGTTATGTTATCCATATTATAAAATATATAATAAATTAATAAAAAAATAAATATTATTTAGATCCTGAAAAAGAGACGTACTACTTAGTGTTGCAAAATGCTAAAGATGGTGACTTGAGGACATATTTACGAAATAATTTCAAAAGTCTTGATTAGAAAATTAAAATTAAAATGGCTAAGGATATTACAAATGGTCTACGCTATATTCACGAAACAGAAATAATATATCTAAATTTACTTTAATAGCATTCAAATAACATTTTAGTTCACGAACAAAGGCTATTGATAACAGATTTAGGATTATCTCAATCATAAGATACCGATTCAAATTCTATTGTTGGTGGAATGATTGCATACAATGATCCTGAATATTTACGACATGCAATGAAATATGAAAGAAATAAACTTTCAGATATATATAGTCTAGGAGTTTTTTTCTGGGAGTTATCAAGTGGAAGACCTCCATTTAAAGATTTACCAAGTATAAAGATGCAACATTTCTAGTGAAAGAGAAAAACCTATTAATAAAACACCAAAAGATTATATTAACATATATTCAAGTGAATGGGGAAATGATCCAAATCGAAGGTCTACTATTAAAAATATTTCTGATTCTCTCGAAAATATAAATTTAGAAAATATATATAACGATTCTGATGACAATCAAGATATTCAATTAGAAGCTTATATTAATAATCAATCTCAAACTTCAATTGATGTATTCAGTAGTGATTCATTGTATATTGATTCTTCATTTACTACGTCAAATTGGGGAGAAGCTATAGGTATTTCTTCGTAATAATTTTATTAACCATGTTATAAATAACATTCCCGTGAAAAAAATCTCGCGAAAATCTCCGTGTATTATTTGATTGACACTTTTCATCTTTATATTTGATTTACATTTTTTGGCAATGAAAAACCTTCAAGAATCATCTATTCATCTACCCACTTCCTTATCCGCTTCTCTATTCATTTCCCTCAATTCTAATGACGTGGCGAAAGGCAATCAAATTGTAAATTATAATTATAATGATTTTAGAAATCTTAAAAATATAGGAAAAGGGGTTCACAGTGCAATTCTAATGGATGGAAAGAGAACAGTGGCTTTAAAATCTATATTTGTTGCTACTACGGAATTATTTGTCAACGAAGTAAATACTATTTCTTAATTATCCCATACCAAAAAACTGTGCGATTCTGAATATTTATATTTTAATGAATTTTTAGCTTAAACATTATTCACGTGTCAGTTCACATGAAAATATAATCAGATTCTATGGAATTTCACAAAAAGGCAAATTTTAAATTGAATCTTTAATCTTTTTGTATTAATAATAACTTTTATGATATAAAATATTTATATTGAATATTATATGTATATATATTTGATATAGATTTGAAAAGAAATGAATATATACTTGTATTAGAATATGCAAATGGTAGAACCTTACGTGACCACCTAAAATCTAATTTTGAAAAAATTTGAATAATACTATAAATAAAAATTGATCCTTTAATTTAATATAATTTTGTTTTACAGCATCCAGAGAACATTTTTCTCCATGAAAATACTATTAAGATTAATGATTTTGGTATTTCCAAGCTTAGGACTGGGCTTTTGATCGATTCCAATAATACAATAGAATATTCGGATCCAATTCTTCTCAAAAAGATGGACAAATCTAGCAAAACTAAAGCTTCTGACGTATATAGTATTGGGATTTTGCTTTGGGAAATATCAAGTGGAAAAATTCCATATAAATCTAAATTTCAGGATAAATTAGATTTGATAAATTATATTTCACAGGGGAATAGAGAAGATCCAATAATTGGAACACCACCAAATTATATTAATATCTATCAAGGTTTGATTTTATTTTTATTAATAATATCTCAAATTAATTGACTAAATTATTTACAAATACGAATCAATTGCTTATTTAATAGATTGTTGGAATCAAGACCCAAATCAACGTCCAAATATCGGGAAAGGCGTACAAGATCTCGAATGTGTGGATTTAGCGTGAGTACTTGGAATGTTAATTAATTTCATGATAATAATTTCGTATCAAACAAGCACCTCTCTAATCAGTCATTAATTATTAACTTATTACGTATTTACATTAAATAATTAGTTGGTGAGTATTAAGATTCGTTATCGTTAATATCAAATTTTAAAGTTAATTCAACATAAAATAATGCTTATTTAAAAATTATTTATCATATTAACATTATAGGGAGTAAATATTTAAGTTTATAATTAAAAAAACCAAAATTTCAAATTAATTTAATATTAATTACACTTCTCTAATAAATCTAATTAATAATGTATACTTTATATTACAGGTGAGTATTTTAATTAAATTTAAACATTTGAACTATTTTATTATCAAATTTCTAAGAACATAAAAATAGATTTCTTACTTCCATTTTAAGTTTTTTTTCAGTTATAGAAATATAATAAAATATTTAAATTGCCTCCATTTTTTTCTAGAGCTTTAGGACCTTCTAATATCAAAGATGCTGTAAAACCTTTCGTCTCTTTGATATCTTCTGCAACCATCTTAATTATACAAATCAACAAGGATTATTACGCTTTGCGGTATAACAAGAATGTTTACGATCCATTTATAGATCGTGTAAATGCTGCTGAGTCGGTTATCAAAACTTTACAAAGAAGAAAAGAGGAAAATGAAAAAAAAAATTCGTAATAAAGAATATTACGAAGCATTTGATCGGTTTATCAATGTCATGAAAATGATTAAATCGTTTATTAACAATGTTTCACACGAACAAGGCTATAATGAATTCTTGCCCCCCTGGTTCAATTAAAAAAAAAATTCGTATCACTTGTTAAAGGTTTTGATTCAGCAATGACTGATTTGCATTTTTCAATGGCTGTGATGGAAGCTGGACCAAGAAGCTCTCGGTTCTCACCTTATAAAGGTAATTTACATGTCTATTCCTCTCTGAATATAATAACTTAATAATTTTATATTTCCGTTTTATTATTTTTTTTAAAAGATTTTAATTGAAGAAAATGAAATAAAATCAAGTGAATTAGTGGATCCTTTAAAACCAACTAATTGTCGAAGGAAAATTATCAAAAAAATGTTTAAATCTGTTGAGGTCGCTTTGCAAATTTATAGATAATTTTCAAAATAATGATCCTGATGAAGTTATATTAATTCTAGAACACCTAACTATATTGAAAAAATTACGAGATTCACCCTACATTATCAGATTTCATGGTCTTTCCATTATAGAAAACTCAAACGTTATGGTATTTGAATGGGTTGATTTCGGTTCGCTCAGAGAATTGTATTGTGAATATGACATTGCGTGGCATGCAAAAGTACGAATTGCTTTTGATATTTGTCGTGGCCTTACATTTTTGCATTCTTGTGACATTCTTCATCATGATATTCGATGTGAAAATATTATGGTAAGATTTAATAACTTTACTAATAATAATATAGATTTTATATAGACTTTATATATAGATTCCAATAAGTACCATTTTCTATTTATAATAGATAACTGCGGTCTGGTACCAAAAATCGCAAAATTTATTTATTCCTGTATGGCAACTCCACCGACATGATGCGTGTAACAGATGTTATACGTTGGGTGGCTCCCGAAAAATTGCGTATACTTTCAAATGTGAGATTTTCAGGTATGCTAATCTCTTAATTTATTTGCTTATTGAATTATCTAGTTTATTTCATATTTTTCTTATATTGTATATTTAGTTTTGGTATATTACTCTGGGAACTTGTTTACAAAAAGTTCCCATACGAAGATTTGGATGCATCGAAGATTAGAGAACATGTATTAGCTGGCAACAGAGAAAAAATCACATGGAGAAAGGCTCCACCAGATGTTGAAAAACTTCAAAAAAGCTGGGCGAAAATCATTGTCTGGTAAGTTATTTTTTTGTCGTTATTACCTTTTTGTTTAGAAAAAAAAAAGAATTTGACTTATTTAACCTATTTAATTTATATCATCATTTTAATTTTATATGGAATGACGACCCAGCAATTCGAGCATCTCTTCAAAATATTTTTATAAATTTGGATCAACTAGTGCACACCGAACAGAGAAACTGATGTTTATCTTTTACCTCATGGTATTGATGAAATACAATAAATAATTCTTCTCGAAGAAGGCATCGCAACACATAGGTGAACGTGCAAAAGCTTGGGAATGTTTTTTAGTACATACAGATTTAGGTAATGTAACTAATGTAACTGCAAAATATTGGAAAGGTATTGCTTGTGGGAAGGAATTGAAGTTGAGAAAGATCGTGAATAAGCTACTAGATTGTTTAAAGAAGCAAGCTGGTGAAGAAATCGCGGATGCTCAATTACGTTATGCATTTTCATTACTCAATAATCTGCCAGTAAAATTTAATCGAGAAATCTTTTTAAAATATATAATCAAGGCTGTAGATAATAGTAATGTTACTGCACAAATTTAACATGGGAGAAGTGTATTTGTATGATAAACTTAATCAAAAAAGGATGAGAAATTAAGCATAAAATATATGAGATTGGCTGCTTTCAAAAGCTAAAGAGGTATTAAAAAAATAGGGAATTGATAATTAATTATTATTTAGTAAGTAAATTCATTTTATTCTTTCAAATAATTTGTTATGGAGGATTATTGGTTTCATCTATATTTTCATTCAATAATAAAAATAGAGCATTAGTCACATTGCGAAGATGACTACAAGTTTATACTTAAAATAATATTGAATATTTTTTAAACGTTATTAATGAAACCTCTGTTTGTTTGTTCGGAAACTAACTATGCTATGTGTGGAGTTTCTTTGCATAAAATGTATTAATTCGTAATTCGCTAGAAACGGAAAGGATTTATATAATAGATTTTGAGGCAACTTTTCACAATTATATATAAAAAATAATTTTTTTATTCATTAAAAAAAAGGCTTATTGATGTTGTTGTCCTTTGAAATTAAAAATATATTTAAACCAGAATCATTGCTTTTTATGATGTTAATGGAGAAAGTGACTTTTATAAGATAGTTCTTGTGATATTATTATTCCGGAAAATAAAAAAAATAACATGTGTAGTCTTGAGCTTTATTTTAAAGCCCCAAGCTAACCTATATATTCATGAGCTTTATTTAAGGTAAATCGGAATCTATACTATATAGTCTTAAACCTTAATTCCGATTCTACAGTTGTAGTCTTGAGCTTTATTTAAGATTATACAATATAGTCTTAAGCCTTAATTCCAATTCAACAGTTGAATTCTTAGGCTTTATTTGAATTTAACATGTGTAGTTTTGAGTTTTATTTAAAGTAACTCAAGTTAATTTATATAGTCAAAAATAATTTGGGATGCCAAAAATAATTTGGGATGCCAAAAATAATTTGGGATGTCAAAAATAATTTGGAATGTCAAAAATAATTTGGGATGTCAAAAATAATTTGGATTTGGGATTTGGAATTGGGATTTGGGATTTGGGATTGGGATTTGGGATTTGGGATTTAGCAATTTGAATTTGGATGGCACCTATAACCTACACTAGGTCTTAACTGGGTCTGAACCAAGCCTTAAACTCAGGCTCGCAAAGCTGAATATAGTAAGGATGATATTTATAATGTTGATGAAACAGGACTTTTTTTTCAAATAGAACCAAACCAAACACTTAGTACAAAAGCAATTTCTTATAAGAAATATGTATATTTAAAAAATATTTAAATATAATTAAAATATTATTGAAATATTATTAAAATATATTTAAAATATATTTAAAATATGCTTAATTATATTTGTGATAATCTACTTAAAATATTATTATTTTATAATTAAAATATATTTAAAATATACTTAAAAAATACTTAATTTAGGTAATGAGTAAGTATATTTTAAGTATATATTTAAAACATACTTAAAATATTATTAAAACATATTTAAAATTAAGTATATTTTAAGTATATACCTAAAATATGCTTATTTGTTACTTAAATTAAGTATTTTTTTAAGTATATTTTAAATCCATTTGAATTATAAAATAATAATATTTTAAATAGTTTTTATATATTTAAAAAATATTTAATAAAATATATTTTGAATATATTTTAAATATATTTTAAATATCATAGTTTTTATAGGGATTGCAGGTCAAAAAAAAATAATTATTTAAAGAATTTTAAATTTTTAAATTTATTTTATTTTTTTAAAAACTTATTTTATTTTTTATTTAATTTAATTAATAATTATATTGTGCCACCCGATTTGACATTGTTTACATATTGTATAACTAATTTAAAGATTTATTTATTGTAATTTTATAGGATAAAAATAGATTATCTATTCTTTTTTGTACAAATGTTTCAGGTTCTCATAAATTTAAATCACTTGTAATTGGAAAGTCACTTAATTTTCGTTACTTTAAAAATTTTAACAAATCAGCTCTTCCAGTTATTTATCATGCTAATTTTAAAGCATGGATGTATGCAAATATATTTGTTGATTGATTTAATTATATTAACAATTAGTTTCGTACAATAAATAGAAAAATTATATTTCTTATTAATAATGCAGGTTCTCATTTTAATGTAAAAGATTAGAAAAAGAAGATTCTGATGTTTCCAGTAAAGGTGAATTTAAAGATGAACAAGAACCAAGACAGAATAACAATAATAAAAGGACAATTCAAACCAATTCAAAAAGAATATCCAAGCTTTTCAATATTAAGCTTATTTACTTTTTACCTAATTCAACAACTCATTTGCAACCTATGAATGCAGGAATTATTCATAGCTTTAAAGCAAAATACAAGAAAGAATTTTGTAAACATTTAATTCAACAATTTAACTCTGGAATAGATCATGAAAAGTAAGTTTATTTTTAATTTATTATTGAAATTTTTATTAAATTTATTTGTTTCTGTTTTATCAATTCTTATTTTTATTTAATTATAAAAATAAGTTAAATATTAAAGATACAATTGATTATATAGCTGAAGGGTAGAATAATGTTACTCAAAATACTATTCAAAACTGTTGGATTAAAACTGGCATACTTTCATCTGTAGATGATTCAGAAACAACTTTAAAAAATGGTAAAAAAACAATTTCAGAAAATGATAAAGAAGAAATTAAAAATCTTCTTGAAAATTTACTTGAAAAGAATAATACACAAGATTATTTTCAATTAGTTAATGATAATATTACTACTGAAGAAAATCTTACTGAAGAACAAATTATTAATTTAATACAATCTGAAGAAAATAAAGAAAAAAGTAATAGTGATGATAAAGAAATATCTCCAGTGTTAATTAAAGATGTAGTTAATGGGTTGAAAACTTTTATTAAATATTTTGAACAACAAAATGATAATTCTGAATTTAATATTAATAATTTGAAAATTTTTTGAAAATACTTACAAATATCTAAAACTATTGAATTCAATTCAAAAAGTCAACAATCACTTGATAATTTTTTTAATATTTGATATTAATAATTTTTTATCAATTAAAATACATTTATAATAAAAATTTTTTACAATATCTAATTTTCTATAATCACACTTTTATAAAATTATATATATACTAGTTTTTGCCCATGGCTTTGCCATGGGAGTTTGTTTTTATTTATTTTTTTGTCAGTATTTGTTTTATTTATTTATAGATTTAAATGTTTATGTGAAATATGTTAATATTTTTTTTGTTATTTTGTATAATAATTTTCATATTTGTTTTGATATTAGTTATTCAATTATATATGTGGTTGAAATTGATCTTATTTATATGTGCTTTTTGTTTTTTTCTGTATTTTGTTATGTTGTTTTGTTTTGTTTTTGTAGTGTTATTAATATTGTAAATTTTTAGCTGTTGGTTTGGTTAGATTGTTATTTTGTTTTTGTTTGAGGTTTTATTTGGAATTGTTAAATGATATTTTTATTTTATTATTGTGCATTAAGTTAGTAGTAATTAAATTTGTTGTAATGTTATTATTGTTGTATTTGGTTTGAATGATTGTATTATTATTTTTACTTTTATATATATTGTGTTATATTTATTACTAAGTTTGGTAATCATTTTTGTTGTCACAATTTTGTGCTATTTAATAGTTAGAAGTTGATGATAATTTAATGTGTGAAAATTATTTTGAGAGTTGTCAAATGATATTTTTATGTTGTTATTGGTTAGTTAAGAATTGTCTATTATCTTTATTTTTATACATGTTGTATTATATATATTTCTAATTTTGGTAATTGTTTTTGTTATCATGATTTCATATTATTTAAAAGTTAGCATGATGATGATAATTTAGTGTGTAAAAATTATTTTATGGTATGTTACACATTTTTAGAGTTTTCAAATGATATTTTTATGTTGTTGTTGTCATTAAGTGGTGAATTAATTGTTTAGTTAAGAATCGTCATTATATCATTATTGTATTTAATTTGTACAATTGAATTATTATTTAATTGTTTGTCATTTTAAGAATTGTGTTATGATAGTTTAATATGTGAAAGTTATTTTTAATGTATACGTTGTTACATTTATATATAAAAATAAATTAATTTTTACTGTTTCAATTTTTACGTTATTGTTGTTATTGTAATTGTATTATTATTGTTTAAGTGATATTTTAATGCCTTGTTATGCAAACACAATTGTCAGGGTAAAATTTGTAAAACAGTATGAAAAAGAAAAAGAGAGTTTCAACTTTTTGGTAGTTTGGACTCTCGGTACTTATCCTGTGGAACGTAATGATTGTGAGATGGAAATGACTTTGTTTGTACCTGTAAATATTGAAGAAAGAGATAATGAAACTCAAGCAATTTTCAAAAAAGATAGTTTTTACTTTGTTGGTGAAAAAATTATTCCGGGATTTTACAATAGAAACAAAAGAGCTAAAGTACTTGTTACAAATGTTGTTACAGAATGAAAATATAATGATAAAATAATATTAAAAACATCTGCAATAATTTATAATAACCCTTAAAATAATATTTAGAATTTAATATTAGTTCATGTAACAAATAGTAACAATT